TATATATATATATAAGTAGGGGAATCAAATATGATAAGCTGTTGATAAGACATTGCAGAGCTGCAAACAAATCAAAAGCAGCCATGCACAACTCAAACCTAAATTGACTTCACAAGTTAAATTAAAACAAGATCGGTATTTGATGAAAGCAATTTGCTACTTTTAACTGGTATGCACCACGACCAACACATGGACCATGAACTGTCAGTAAAAAATATCAAAGGTCAAACTTGAAAGATAAATACAATGAAAAGTAATGAAAACTAAACTGTACATTTTCTATGATTGAGCCATGCACAACTCAAACCTAAATTGACTTCACAAGTTAAATTAAAACAAGATCGGTATTTGATGAAAGCAATTTGCTACTTTTAACTGGTATGCACCACGACCAACACATGGACCATGAACTGTCAGTAAAAAATATCAAAGGTCAAACTTGAAAGATAAATACAATGAAAAGTAATGAAAACTAAACTGTACATTTTCTATGATTGTCATGTATATTCACTTGTATCCTTTGATCTACTTACCCTCCAAGAGGATCCTCTACCTGAACAGTAGGATTGGGGGGTGATTCCTGGGAACTCATAGCTCCATTAAGATTCTCCTTTTCCTGGTTTTCTATATGTTACAGCTGTGCGTATGACACCTAGTGGACAATATTATTATTTGTTCATTTATAAGGCATAAAAGACACATGAGATGCACTTTAATAATAGCAAACATAACTAAAGATAAGATTTGGACATAATGGACCCTTATGAAAAAGGGGGTCTTATGGGAACTGCACACATGACACGCAGGCACTATGATCAATGAAAATGTTACAGCAATTTTGAATGACTTTAAGGCCTCAGTCACACTGCTCAGAGTCGGCCCGTACAGATCCATGCGGCGGGCATGGCCGTATCAGGCCGTTCCCAGGAAGGACAGGGGCTGTGTGTGATTGTACGCAACAGCCTGTTCTTCTCTATGGGAGGACGCGGCCGTACGCTCACCCGAGCTGCACATCCGTGCAGGTGCAGGTGTCCATACTCGTACGCAGACAGGATGGATCCTGTCTGCGTCCGAGCACGGAACACCCGCACTTGCACGGATGTGCAGTTCGGATGAGCGTACGGCCACGTCCTCCCATAGGGAAGAAGAACGCACTGCCTCGCATTGCGGCCGGCTCACTTTTTTGCTGGGCTGGAGGGGGTGTGGCGGCCATTGAAGTGAATGGCCGCAATGCGATCGTCCGCACGGGATCGCAAGGCACATTGTGCCTGCAGTGCAGTCCGGTGCAATCAAAATTGTGCTTGCAGCACAATGTGCCGAGTGCAGGAAGTGTTCTGGGGCCTGATACAATGTGAGTGCCAGAAGTGTTCTCGGGCCTGGTACAATGTGGGTGCAAAGCAATTAGAGTGAAAACACTAGGGGGGGAGCAATAGGAATGATTTGAATACTTAAGGCAATACGAACACTCTTAGAAGTTCATTTATTTATAGCACTGAAGGGCAAAAAGATAATTGGAGCCAAGCTAGGGAAGCCATGTTATTGGCATGGTACCTACTGCTACAACACAGGGGTCTATGGAGCCCGAAAACCGTCTGTACAGCTTCATGTAAACATGGCTTTTCTATAGTAGTCCTAATACACGGGCACCTAGCCAAGCTGCTGCCAGCCACCTCTTCCTATGGGGAGACAGGAAGCACTGCACTGTGTACATGGCGGACCTGAGATGTTCTATACTCCCTGTGTCACAGCTCTGCACTTCTATGGCTCTGTCACTATGTGGAACGTATGCCCCTCACCCCCATGTCTCAGCACAATAGCGACACGACAGCTGACACACACACAGCACGGTTATGTTTACCTCCCCCAATCAGCTCCAGCAGCCTGCGGGTCACATGACGGTGACGTAGCAGGAAGTGACACGCTGGACCCGGTTCCGGTGTCGGTATGGCGTTTGCACGGAGCCGGTGTAGTTGGCTGTTTTGGGTGGTGATAGGAGCCGGTTCATTTCTTGTCAGCCAGGCGGAGAACGCGGAGCCTTCACTATGGAGGGTCCCTCTGTCCGCGGTGAGTGCGGAGCCTATTGGCCGTCACAGCTCCATATACTACACCGGAAGCTTCGTATACTACAGTGTGTGTGTGTGTGTATATGGGGACAATTCCATATACTACAGTGTATATACAGGGACAGCTCCATGTACCCGTGTGCATACAGGGACAGCTCCATGTACTAGTGTGCATACAGGGACAGCGCCATGTACTAGTGTGCATACAGGGACAGCTCCATATACTACAGTGTGTATACAGGGACAGCTCCATATACTACAGTGTGTATATATAGGGACAGCTCCATATACTACAGTGTGTATATATAGGGACAGCTCCATATACTACAGTGTGTATATATAGGGACAGCTCCATATACTACAGTGTGTATATATAGGGACAGCTCCATATACTACAGTGTGTATATATAGGGACAGCTCCATATACTACAGTGTGTATATATAGGGACAGCTCCATATACTACAGTGTGTATATATAGGGACAGCTCCATATACTACAGTGTGTATATATAGGGACAGCTCCATATACTACAGTGTGTATATATAGGGACAGCTCCATATACTACAGTGTGTATATATAGGGACAGCTCCATATACTACAGTGTGTATATATAGGGACAGCTCCATATACTACAGTGTGTGTACAGGCTGAAACCGGGCGGCTGCTCCAATGCCCTGCTTGTAACGCGCGCGGGGGGCGGCTCCAGTGCCCTGCCGCTAACGCCCGGGGGCGGCTCCAGTGCCCTGCTGGTTTCTCTCACCTCAACTTTAGAGAATTGTTGCCCGTGTGTCAGTACAGATCTAGAATGTGGTCTCCTCTGGTTGAGCTTTATAATGTTTTACATTTCCCCTCTCAATGCCTCCCACATATACTCATATACTCTGCTCCTGCTTGGAAGTGCAGCCTGAGAACTCCATTTCATGTGCAGTATGTTGAAGTCGCCCATAATCCACCCTCTCTCTTCATTGTGGGATATTGTCCGTGTTGCTGGCTGGGGCTGATCGGGGGAATTGCAATTCTCAATGAAAACATCATTTCTCTCATCCCTTGGTGAACCTGAATAATGCCGCCTCCTCTTTTCTAAAACCTAAATGGTGACTGGTTTAGGGTAAAGCAGGCATGGAAAGGTGACTGAGGCTGGTCAGATTGTGCCCACATGTCTGATCACTCTGTCATACCGATTGTCAGCTTTATATTCTGATGTGCTATGATTGCTAATGTAATCACAATGTATTTTTGTATTTTCTAGAATGGTACACAGTTCACCTTCGGGAAGATTCTTTTTCAAAACTCTGTCATCTTTATCAATGGTAAGTTTTATAAATGACTCTGATGTAAGGCAAAGGGCGTGCACTCTTAGGATGCAGCTCACACACTGAAAGGCCTTGTGTAGTTGGTTCCTCCTGTTTACAAATACATGTTCGCTTTATTGCTTTCTTTATTCTTCCTGAGTGGGTTATACTGCCACCTGCAGGAGAAGGACACTAGCTACAAAACAAATGCTCTAGTTGGGAACTCATTTTCCCTGCTGGGATATTCTCCTGTTTTGTTCTATTTTTACCTCGGAGGAAGTCCTTTTTTCTTCATCTCCGCCACTGAAGATGATCACCTCTCAAGCAGCTGGCTGGATGACAGACTTGGTGATATTGATCCTGGTAATCTCAGTAGTTCCTGCCTTAGAGCACATGCAGTTCCTTGCTTCGACCAGGACATGACACTTTCGGCAAGTGCCATTTTTGGCGGCAGATATATCGGTGCATCCCTAATAAGTATTCTTCCTGTGTACCATTGAGCATCAGCGGAGCCTTTCTCTACATTTTCAATTCTCACGTCAGTGAAGGATCCACACATAATATTCAGTATGTGCAATGTTACAGAAGATGGACAGAGACTGCAGACTTACGAAGATACTACAGACATGCTACAGTTGTGGTTTGAGACTACAGACATGCTGCGGGAGACGGATCTTGGGGACATGTTATCTCTCGTCTTGACTATCACAACTCCCTCCTCATTGGCCTTCCACTATACAGGCTATCCCCCCTTCAGTCTATCATGAATGCAGCTGCCAGACTCATTCAGCTAACCAACCGCTCAGTGTCTGCCGATCCCTGCACTGGCTTCCAATCGCCCAAAGGATAAAATTCAAAATATAAACAACGACTTACAAAGCCATCCACAACTCTGCCCCCGGATATATCTCAAACCTTGTCTCAAAGTATCACCCTAACCGTCCCTTCCGCTCTTCAAATGACCTTCTGCTTTCCAGCTCCCTCATCAACTCCTCCCACGCTCACCTCCAGGACTTCACTAGAGTCTTTCCCATCCTCTGGAACTCTTTACCCCAACCTGTCCATCTGTCTCCAACTCTGACTGCCTTTAGGCAGTCCCTAAAGACTCATCTATTCAGGGAAGCCTATCCCACCTCAACCTAACCGCTCAACCATCACGTTCTCAAACAATTCCTCCCCACACAGCTTCCTCCTCATGTATCACTTCCCCCCTCCCTTTTTAGATTGTAAGCCCTCACGGGCAGGGCCCTACTTACCATCTTGTCTTGAATTGTAATGTCTTCCTTATATTGTAAAGCGCTGCGCAAACGGTTGGCGCTATATAAATACTATGTAATAATAAAGTTATATGGCACAGCTAGAAATCACTGCAATTACAGCCCATTTACAAAATCATCACTCCCACTGCTGACTGCTGAGGTCCAAAGGCTGCATGGAAAGCACCAAAGGGCCACAGGTTGGGCACTAGGACTTTAGTGTCAGACCTATCGGCTTTCAAACTGGTCTTGAGAAATGTACATTGATTTGTTTTCTCTCACATCTCTTTGTTTTCTTTCAGTGGAAGGTAAGCAGAATTCCTGCAGCAATATTACAATTACCTGGTACCTGCGACACTGCAACTGTTACAATGAAATCTCTGGTATTGGGGTGAGTAACACAACTGTTACTGATGCTATTGAGAAATCCAAGGAAATAAATACAATCTGTTCGCTGCTGATACTTTCTTGTTGGGAGGGAGGCGGGGGGACTGCAGCAGATAATTGGCTGGTCTGTGAATATATTCAAAGGGATGGAACTGTAGCAAAACAATTTTACATAAAGTGTATTAAATATGCTTCCTATAACATCAACTGTTCCTCAAAACTCCACCCATAAAAGAAATGTTATATACTGTATCTTCTCTTAACCATTTTTGCTGCAAAATGGGATGTATTGGATGCCACACCTGCACAGGGAAGCTATTTGCTCTCCTCATGCCCCTGCCGTAATGATTTATTTCAGGCATTTATATGGTGCCTTCATTTTACATATTTATTTCCATCCTGTTCATTTCCATCATTCCCTGTTCTCAAGAACCTTACAATCTAAGGTCCCTATTTTACATACACACACATACTAGGGCCAATTACCCTACCAGCATGTCTTTGGACATGGGAGGAAGCGCATGCAAACCACATGCAGATAGTGTCCTGATAATTAGCAATTTATTGACTAACAACTATCTGATAAAGTCGATAATAATAATCAGCAATGATTTGTAATCACAGCCAGGACTGCGTAGAAAGCAGAATTTATATAATTGTATCATCTCTGAGGCAGCACCTCAGTCGAGCAGGTAGATGCTGAGCCTGGATTATGTCCATTATGTCCTATGGAGAGAAATGCAGGCAGTCCGTTCATCAAATATGGGTTTCCAACGCGTGGCAATTGAAAAATAGACGAACATCACCTTTTTTTTTTTCTTTTAAATAATTTTTTTTAACTGCACACCTCAATGCCACAATGCACCTGCATTGTGGTACACAGCCGTCCAGGTCTGTTAGCACCGACATTTCTTGAATAGCACTACAATGCAAAACAGAGTGCCATGCGTTAGAATGCACATTACTGCAAAAAAAGGCTCTGAAGAGGGCTTAAACTATATTTTTTTAAAGAAATTAATCATAATGACCCCACTTACCCATGCTATATAACCCTTTGCACTTGTGGCTCAGATTAGCGGGCAATCTGGTACAGGTGCCTACACCATATCAGGTGGTGCGCATTCGGAGAAGCCTCCCTGCAGGCTTGCAAATAGACAGCTTTTGCATTTGGGCCTATGAAGAACTCGGTACCCCTGGCACTCTGCACCCCGATATCGTTGCATTTCTCTAACACCCAGCAGCCCTACTACTGCTTCGCCCTGCCTTCCAGTACCCCTGACACTGAACACCAACACCTTTCTTTTAGACTCCATCTACCTCTGTTCCTGCTCCCCCCTGACAACTTTGCAGAGACATACAGAGAGGAGAAGAGGTTGAGTCTGGCTTCTAGGCTCTCTGCCCACTTACTCCACTATCTGATGACATCACCATGCAGGTGGTCTCCCAGAAACATAAAATGTTTGCTTCAACCTAGGGCTGCAACAACTAATCGACATAATCGATTATAATCGATTATTGAAAAAGTTGTCAACTTTTTCAATAATCGATTAATCGGCTTCCGATCAGTTGGCCCTGTTCACAGCTCCACACGCTGTGCGCCGCACCTCCTCCCCACCTCACGCCCGCCGCTGCCAGACCCGCTCGCATCCACGCTCCACACGCCGCACCTCCTCCCCGCCTCACATTTCCTGCCCATCCACGATCGGCA